CCTTATCTGAGCTCTTTGTTGTGTCTACACTGAGCAAGTTTGCTGAGGTAAAGCCAAGAAGGGGCTGAATTTTGTACCCAGACTTGTGCAGTCACCGGAGCCCAGGAAGAGAAGCTGCATTCTTCAAGGAATGGCAGCTGCCTTCAGCAGCGGTCAGAGCACTTCGGTCACGCCTGCCCTCCCCTCTCCAGCCCCTACCTGCGATTCAGTGCCGCAGGTGTCGAAGCGGGCCTGGATCCGGAAGGTGCCGCCGACTTCCTGGGCGGCACAGCGCCGGCTGCCCAGGTAGACCTGGGTCTGCCCCAGAGGGGCCAGCGCCTGCGTGGAGATCAGGATCTGGAAGTCCATGCGGGAGCAGCTCACGTTCATGGGCACAACTGGGGACAGGAGGAAGGAGCTGGAGGCCTTAGGGGCAGGCACTCTGACTCCCACCCCCCAAACGCCCACCCACGGGTGGCAAATGGGAGCACTGAGCCCGTAGGGGGAAGTTCTATGCAGTCCCATGGGGAAGTTCTATATGCATCACTCCGTGTAGCTCCATCAGACAATGCGCTGCCCATCAGACACCATGCCTGCCTCTGAGCGTCCTCTGAGCCTCACACAGAGCTTGGCAAGCACAGTGGGTGCTGAATGAATGAATGAATGAATGCATATTCTTAATCATGATAAAAGCTACTGTTTGCTGATTACTTCGCCATGTGCCAGGCAATTCATTCATCGGTTAACAAATATTTATGGAGGACCTACTATGTGCAGGCACTATTCGAAGCACAACAGATATAGAAATGGAGGGGAAAACCCAGCCAGACATCCCTGGCCCCTTGGAGCTTACACTGTGGCCCTGCAAGGGGACAATAAATATGTAAAATACACTAAGCGTCTGAGTGGTCTGAGGGCGAACCAGGCAAAGAATAAAGACAGCGCAGAGTGTGGGGGCGGGAAACAGCGGTGAAGAAAGCACTCTCCCCCCCACCCCCCACAATGACCCAGGAGGGGAATGTGACTAAACCCCCTCTACAGCTCGGGAGGCGGGGGCGAGGCTCTGGGAGGTGAAGCCGTTTGCTGCGGTTTATTGGGATCTTAACCATCCAGCCTGCAGGACTCAGAGGCCCTGATGTCTTCACTCTCCCTGGGGCCCCCTGCTCCCTCCCGGCCAGGACGGTGCGGCTCAAGTGCTGGGTCTGTGCAAGCACACACGTGTGTGTGTGTGTGTGTCTGTGTGTGTGTGTCTGTGTGTGTGTCTGTGTGTGTGTGTGTGTCTGTGTGTGTGTGTCTGTGTGTGTGTGTGTGTGTCTGTGTGTGTGTGTCTGTGTGTGTGTGTCTGTGTGTGTGTGTGTCTGTGTGTGTGTGTGTATGGGGCAGTGCCTGCTGGGGTGAGTGTAGGAGAAAGCAAGGGGTGACTGGTGGGAGGAGAGGGAAGGTGCTGGTAGGAGAGGCCTGGAACTCTCAACGCCTCCCCGGGAAATGCCTCAGACATATTTCAGCCTCTGGTGTCTGGGCAGCCGGGATTTATGGGCCCGCCGTCTCCCACGATGATCTCGGTGGCGCTGAACTGTGTGTCACCTCTGATTGATGCTGGGCTGTCCTCTAGCCCGGAGGCCGCCGGCAGCCTGGGCCACATCTGGCGCCTTGCCCAGCACGAGTGCAACACATGTCTGACCCTGGGCTCCCACCAGACCCGGGAGGGAGGT